CAGATCAACGTATCGACCTCTGGTTTGCGCCAAAATTTTTCTTATTTCATGCCCTTTCAAACGATATATTACAATATGGGGGCGTTTCACTTAAAAATTTTCAGCATCCCATGGAGACTAACTTAAAAATTTCAAGTAGAATAATGAAAGGAATTGAATAATAATATTAATTTGTACGTTTGCAATTTTACAAAATCGAATATGTCTGCAAAGTACAATCAAATTTTTTTAAATTTTGTATTTTTTTTTTATAAAAATCGATTTCTTTCATTATTTTACGTATAAAGTATCAAGGTAAAATTATCGAAAACTGAATACTTTACGAGATATTTCATATTTTATATCAAAAATATCATGACAAATAACTTTGAAATACCTCAGGAAATTCTTAACGAAAGAGAGCTTTATTATAGTGTTTTGAAAACGTCTCGACAAGGGCTACAAGAATATGCAATAAAAAATAGCAGATTCAATTAAAAAAATGTGAAATAACCTAGACTTGACCTTAATGACTCCACCGAAGGTCAGACTAATACAGTCAGTAAATAGATCTTTTTAAACCTTATAACTTTTGTCTAAAACATTTCTTCCGAAAACGTCATCTTTTCGAGATAATGCAGTCTCCCGACCTTTTTGTTACACCCTGTATATTATTCGTTTTATTAGATTAGATAACATAAACTTCGAAATTTTTAATCAATATTATTATTTTTTATTTTTTTCGTGGATTACTCTTGCATTCGCTACAGGTGTTTTACGGACGCGAGGACACGCTGGAGAGGATAAAAAATTACATGCTAGGTAACAGCGATAAGCCGTTAGTGTTATACGGGGAAGGAGGATGCGGCAAGACTTCTCTGTTGGCGAAGAGCGCGGGTTTGACGAGCAGCACCTGGCTGACCGGTAAAAAACCGATCAGTATAATTCGATATCTTGGCACTACCCCAGACAGCAGTGCGCTCACGCCCACGTTGATCTCCATCTGTCAACAAGTGAGTGCCGCTTATGCTTCTTTCCATTTTGGAAGATGACAATGAAACATTTTTGTTGCTGTTCACAGATTTCGTACAATTATGGATTGTCATTTGAGGAGATTCCAGATGATTTGGTGCCGCTTACAGCCTACTTCAAATATTTGTTGACTTTAGCTAACGGCCAACAGCCGATTCTACTGTTTCTGGATAGTGTCGATCAGCTGACAGGTGTACAGGGTAACAAATTATCGTGGTTACCTACGAGGCTACCACCAAACTGTAAGGTAAATATGAATGCAACCATTAAATAATAATAATATAGCAAAAAAAAGTAAATTACGAAAAAAAAGCTTCTAAGATATAGCTTAAATTTTGGTCAAATCAGTTCTGCATAAGAAAAAGTTTTAACTTTAACAACATATACACGTATGTTTTAGATGATTTTATCCTGCGCGGCGGAAAAATCAAATCCGGTGATTTCGAGAGATTATCAGTTGCTGCGCAGGATGATAGACACCGAAGAAAGCTTCATCGAGGTAACTGCCTTGGGCGAGGATCTAGCCATGGACGTGATAAAGTAAATAAATAATTAATATTATTAGAATTGTTAAGAAAAGAATCCGCTTCAAATTGACAAAAAAATATTATCCTTGACTTCCTGAACATTCTTTTGAAACATTTTATATATTATTCACCGATCTTTCAGAATGTGGATGAAAACGGCCAGGAGAGATCTGAATAACTACCAATGGCGGTTGGTGGCGAACGCTATATCAAAATGTTCCCTACCGATCTTTGTGAAACTTGTGTTTGCGGAGATTTGTCGATGGCGTAGCTATACGAAACCGGCGGACACGCACCTGGCCAGCACGGTGATGGACAGCATAATGATGCTATTCGAGAGGATCGAAAAACAGCATGGTAAAATCTTGGTATTCCACGCTCTGGCCTATATTACGGCCGCTAAGTCTGGCTTGTCGGAGTCCGAGCTCGAGGATCTGATCTCCCTGGACGACAAGGTCCTCGACGACGTTTACCAATACCATTTGCCGCCGGTGAGACGCATCCCGCCTCTACTCTGGACCAGAATACGAAACGATCTGCCCAATTACCTGAGCGAAAGAGAAGCGGACGGTGTAAGCGTCTTGAACTGGTACCATAGGCAATTCAGAGACACGGCTAAAGAGCGATATTTTAAGAACATGAACATGGCGATGTATTTTCACTCCATGATAGCGGACTATTATCTAGGAATTTGGGGCGGCGGCAAACCAAAGCCTTTCAAGTACACCGAGATACAGAGACATCGGTAAATACAGTGGATCGTTATGATAAGTAACATTTTAAGTCAATTAATGTAACTTCATGTCAGAGGCAGCAGAAGAATAATTCTTATAAACTTATATAAAGAACTAGGCTTCAATTTTTAAGATAATAAAATATTAACGGTTCATTTAGTCTAAAAAGATACAATATATAATATTAAAAAATTGACTCCAAACACAGATGATCAAAAAAAGCTAATTTTACTAACTGTTAAAGAAACATTGCAAAATAAAGCAATAATAAGCTTTATAATTTACAGATTTAATTTAACAGACAAGGAAGGTGTGGCAGATAGAAAAGTACCAGAA